AAAAGTGTAATAACAATCTTATTGTTTTTTTTTGCAATTTACAATACTTACAATTCCATTCCTTTAAAATTAAACGAAAGTTATAGCAATCTGTCCTGATTAGGTGTGCTATTATTTTGTGAAGGAGAAAATTAAATTCTAATTAAAGACATAATAGCCTTATAAATACGATAGACCGGGTGTGGTAATGGTCTTGAAATGCAAATCTGGAGTCCGACTATATCTGTTATTTCTATACATTGTAATATTTATACAAAGAAACATTTAATCCAGTGTGTTAATTTTATTCATTTTTTCTTACTATCGTTAACAGCGTCCTCAACCGTGGAACCCCCGAATCCAGGTGAGTATACAACAATTTGCGTTGATTTCATAGACGAATTATGAATGTGAATAATCATTGGAATCGTATTTTTACTCAATCGCATGCTTATAAATCCACGAACGCAAATGGCCGACGATATTTCGTATGGAGCGATAAATGCGCCAATTCTGTTTTATACCATCATCGCGTACAGTGCTTCTAATACCATGGTTACATAGATCATCGAAACACTAGGCGAGTTCGGATGGAGAAAATAGGACAGTGTTTGAGGGGAAAAGCATGTCTGGCAGTTTTTTCGCTCTCAAATGCGTGTAAAATCAATTATTACACGGCGCATTCTTATTTGCATTTCCAAATCATGTACATCAATGTAGGATAAGGGATAATACAGTGACTCAAATCAATACCTGAAAACTAAAGCTTGCCATAGTATGTCGCATCCAAACATACTGGCTAATTGTGGACTTTATGATTTTTTTCCCAAAATACAGAGGAATCATGCTATGGCTACTGTGGTGGACAAAGTCCAGGAGCTGTTATTGTGACTATCAATGTACCGCACATTTTGATTGCTGTGATGATTATTACACTGCTTGCATATGTACGTATTGACTGTAATGTATATATATATATATATGTCCATAGGTATATAGGTATGGTGTGGTGTTGTGTTGTTTTTGTTTTGTATTGTATAAGATTATGTTATTGTGAAAGGTCTATTAAAATTCTACTGTGGAGATAATTTTGTTCTAATTTATAATACTTACAAAGCATGTTGCAGTGACTGGGTATGATATTAGTTTGTGAATGTGAACATTTAATCAAATACGAAATAAAGTTGTGCTTGTCCTAGAAATACGATAGTGTTTAGTATTGACCTTTCGAATGGGAATTTATGTTTTTGTGATACATTGGAGTATTTGTACAATGAAACGACGACTAACCCGGCGTGTTAATTTCATTCATTTCTCCTTACTATCGTTAACAGTGTCCTCAACAACTGTGAAACCCCCGACTCCAGGTGAGTATACAACAATTTGCGTTGATTTCATAGACGAATTATGATTGGAACCGTATTTTTACTCGAATGCTTAAAAACCACGAACGCAAATGGCCGGCGATACTTTGCAGAGAGCGAGAGTGTGGGTAATTCCCCATTACTCTACCATCATCGCGTACAGTGCTTTTAATACCATGATAATATAAAACAGCAGATCACAATCGACGGGAGAATTAGTGACACTATTTTGGCTTATCCCAACATACTGGCTAATTATGCATTTGTTTTTGTTTTTCAAAATCCAGACGGATCATGCGATGGATCATGTGGTAGCAAAGGTTCGGGAGACTGTTGGTGTGACCTTCAATGTGCCGCAAATTATGATTGCTGTGGTGACTATTTAACATATTGCAGTGGTACGT